GCCGTGGGGCAGCGGGGCGGAAGAGCGGGCATCCTCTGCCAGGCAGCACCAGCAGCTCCCCCGGCACCGAAAAATCACTGACGTGGGCAGGAGCTTTCCAAGGGCGGCTGGGATCCCTTTTCCCAAGAAAATCTCTGAGCTGGGTGAGGAGCTCCGGCAGCTTGGGATGTATCAGATGCCGTGACATCTGCCCAGCGCAGCCTTGCCCGCGTCTCCTGGCCCCTCCAGCAGCGCCGGTTGGAAGGGGGCTCACGGCTCCCCTCCGGCCACGGCACCCACACCTTTGGGTGGCTCGGGGTGGGGGCCGGGGGGACGCAGACCTGCCAGGCAAGGTGGTCCGGGGCGGGATGACACTCCCCCCCTGCCCCGCGGACAAATGCACATGCATACACATACATGCATGCACAATTGCACACGTGCATGCACACACACGCATGCACACAACCAGAGGGCACATGCACACCCGTGCACACAAACACCCACGCACATGCGTACACACGTGTACACATAGGGACACACGCACCCATGCACACCCGTGCACACATACACAGGGACACAGACACACACAGACACACATCTGCGCGTGTTCATGCGTGTGCATGCACGCACAGGGGCGCACGCACGCGCACACATCTGTGCATGTTCATGCATGCACATGCATGCATGGGGACACACACATGCACACGCGTTATGCACTCATGAATCCCCCCCAAGGACACAGGCACACTCATGCATGCACACACAAGCGTGCCCACACATCTATGCACACCCACGCACACACAGGGACACAGACGCATATACGTACACCCCCCCCCTACACATCCTCATGCACGCCCATGTATGCACAAGGACACATACACGCACGTCTATGCGTGCTCACGCATGCACGCACACACTCACACTCATGCACACACACATGTACACTCTGCACGCACACACGCATGCACACAGACCCTGCAGGCAGCCCTGTCCCCGCGCCCAGCCCCGCCGCCCCCCAGGCCGC